TGACTTCTGCTGAAATCTCTTCAATGCACCCGCCACTTTCCATTCTCTTTGCCAAAGAAAGAAAAACAAAAAAAGAAAAGAAAAGAAAACTGAATCAGATCAGTTCAGGCCACCACCACCTTCTGCCAGCCTCTGGTCTTGCCCCTTGGCACCCCCAAGTGTCTCCCTGCAGAGAGACCCCTTCAAAGGGGAGCCTGATCAAGTCACCTCAACCATCCCCCCAAGGGTTTAAATGCTTTCAAACGTCCTTCATTGACTTCATTTTTTTCTATTTATTTTTACTGTACTTTTTCCCTTACCATTTACTCCTTCTAGACCCTCTTCCACCTCCACCCTTCCCTCACCTCTCCTCCCCATCACCACACTGTTGTGTGTGTCCACAAATTCTTTCTCATTTTTTTTTCTTTTTTGCTGGATCCCTGCCTGACGAGACCTTCCCGTCCCCCCGCCATGGACTCTAAAAGATAAACTTAAAATTTCTTTACAGATAAATATGATCCTTCAAGATCAGGTTCACCTGTCTCCTGGATCTGTCCCCACTGGCACCCAAAAGCAACCCAAACACCTGCAATTTCCATAGCAGAACTTTCCTGCTGGAAACAACAGTCATTTCCCTCTTATTGTGGTGGCCAGCTAGCTGCTTCTGGTCATTCACTGTGCAGCTGCCATGTCACCTGCTCAGGGAAAGCTTCCCCCATAAGTGCTATAATTAAGGTTCTCAGCGCTCGCCCTACTTTAGCAGTTTCACAGCATATTCTAATTGATTGTTCACCTCCACATTCCCCATCCTTCCATTGCTACCTACCCTCACCCCAAGACTGTGGGTTCCTGGAGGTTAGGGACTCTCCTAGCTCCCGTTATAGTTCAGCATCTAGCACACTGGCAGGCGTACAATATGCATTCACCAAATATTCATTGAATGGGTGAATGAACAAAGAAATTGATGGTTGAGAATTAAACCTATTTGTAGTTCCTTGTTGTTTTAATAATTAAGATTTCTGCACAATAAATATAATAAAAAATTTAAATTTACAAACAACAGATTGAAAGATATAGGCATCAAATAAAGTTTAAAGAGCAAATTATTTAAATTTTATATAAATATCACTGTGGCTCTAAAAGATAAACCATTCCCTCCAAAAGGAAATAATCTCAAGTTTCTCATTCTTCTAGTCTAATCCAATGCTAGCTGATACAAAATCAAATGTGGTATCATGTCTACTTTCCACAATAGACTTGATCTCTCTCTCATCATCAAGAACCAGGTTTGGAGTGTGCAGGAGAAGGGGAAAGAAAGAATAAGCGATGAGGAAGGCACAGGCCAGATTATAGAGGGCTCTTATGCCATCCCTAGGAATTTGGAACCAGAACCACAGAAAAAAACAAAACCTGAAAGATGACATGATCATTTTGGCAGCTGTTTTGGCAAAATGATTCCGTCAGTAATGTGGAGGAGATGTGAGAGTGCAGAGAAATAAAGTTCTGACGACCACTTAGAAGACCCTAATCTTAGTAGTCATCTGGATTTTAAGTGTAAGCGAAGATAAGAAAAAGAGAAATTGTTTCTAGCTTTCTAGTTTGAGAACTTAGACGTACAGAGAGAAGCCACTGGCCAAGGCAAGGGAGAGGCAAAATTGCCTTGTAATGACAAATCTGGTCACAGGGCTTGCCTTTGCTTCCAGATGTCACTTTTGAGCTGTGGGACTTTGATTGAAGTCCCTTAATTTCATTTATAGAGTGGAAATAATAGTAATATCTCTTTCTACAGTTGTCCTAAGGATTAATTAAGAAAATGCATCTGATTGAAAAGCACTGAAATAACGCCTGGAATTTAGTAAGCTTTTTAAAACCTTGGCTGGTGTTATCACTATGCAACAGAAAAGAAGAAGCTGGGGGAGGAGATGATCTGTTCAAGGCACTTTAGGTTTCAAATATTATTTGCCTTGGGGACCTGCCAAGAAAGATGTCCTGGAAGTGGTTTGCTATCTGGAGCTAGCTCAGGAGAGCTGTGGAGTGAAGATGCTGATTTGGGAGTTCTTAGCCTGTGGCTGAAAGTGTGAGGGGTGAAAACTACCGAGGAAAGATTGTGGAGTCCATCATCTGGCAAGGGGAGTGGAGTCCAGGAGAGGGACCTGGGACTGAGGTCCCCCGGAACTGAGGCCAAGGAATCAACCACACAGAGTGTTTTTCAGAATCCCATCCACTTGGAGTCTGAACCTGCCTAGAGTGATGGTGCCCTGAAATAGAGGGCCGAAAGCTAAGTGCTACCCCGCCAATACCTCAACGAAAGGGGAGAAAATGCCCACGGGTGTTTCTCCACCAGATGCAGATCAAGACGTGGCAGTGGGGATCCAGATTCCACACTGGAACCAGACCCTTCCGTTGGCACAGGCTTTACACAGGCTGCAGAACAATCGACAGAGTAACATTCTTTTTCTCTCTTTTTATTGACTGTATTGGCGTGATATTAGTTAAAAAATTATGTAAGTTTCAGGTGTACAATTCTATAATACATCATCTGTATATTGTACTGTGTGTTCACCGCTTCAAGTCAAGTGGCTGGCTGATATTCTCATCCTGAGAATTTTCTGATTAACATAATTGCATCCCATCCTTTGCATCTTCTTTTTTAAATTTTTAAAATTTATTTTTAGAGAGGGGAGGTGAAAGAGAGAAAGAGAGGGAGAGAAAGATGATGTAAAAGAAACGTCCATGGGCTGCCTCTCGCATGCATGTGCCCTGACGCTGCATCGAATAGACAACATTTTGCTCCACAGAACTATCCTCACCGGAGGACGTTTTTTCATTGCTTTTAGAGAGGGGAAAAGGGAGAGACAGAAACATCCATGCAAGAAAGAAGAATCCTCCAGTAGGAACCAAACGATGATGAACCCGAAACCTAGGTGTGTCCCAACCGGGGATCAAATCCGTAACCTTTTGGTTATGGGACAACCCTCCAACGAACTGAGCCACACGAACCTGAGCACAAACCTGTTTTTAGTTATTTGATATTTAAAATTCCTAACTTTATTTCTAGATTTCCAAAAAGGAGAATTTTGAGACAATCCCTAAGAAGGCAATTCGTTTTAGGATCTTCTAAAACACACCTCACACTCCCTTTCTCCTCCCTCTTTCTTCTTGAAATCTCGTTTCTATTGCTGGAAATCTCGCGAGACATTGAATTCTCATGAATTCTCCCAGAAGCCTTTGCTCTTCCTCTTCCCGAAAGCGACCAGAGGTGAGTGCTTTTTCGGCGACTCTCTGAGTGTGGAATCCTGCGATCATCGCCTCCATCCTGGTCTAGAGGGCACCGATCTCGAGACCCCAGGGAGGAAAAGTCTTGCAGTTACTGATTTCTTGCTGAAGGCGGTGTACCCCTGTGCGGGGGGACGTGTCAGAGTGCCTGATGTGGCGCCCCGAGGCCTGCGGCCCGAAAAGGGGCCTGATGGGCGGGAATAGGGGCTCTGGGTATACGGGCAGCCCGTGGTCTGTGCGGCTTCCTAATCTGGAGGTCCAGTGCCTCACGGTGAGTGGTGGTCGAATATGCAGCGTGTTTGTGGCCTCAACGAGAGATCATGGCGGGGGAGGGGGAGGAATTAAGTCGGGTCGAGCCTTGACTCATTTGGCGCTGAACGTTGATTAGAGCACAGAAGTGTGCAAAGACAGCATCACTTGAGAAGTTGTGTGAGTAGAGGGGGCTTCTGTGGGAGGGGAGCACGTTGAGGGCTGTAGTGGAGCTCCGCTCCCGCAGTGCCCCCGCGTCTTTCTACGCCTGAAGGGTCCGGGGTCGCATGGAAACAGGCCTGTTCCCATCCAAAGAGTAAGAGAGGGCGATGAAGCTCGTGTCCCTTAGTCTGGTGTCGACACTGGTCGGCGCGCAGGGAAGGACAGCGCTGCATGGAGGAAGGAGTGGCTGCGATGATGGCATTTCTTAGGACACCTTTGGATTCATCATGAAAACAACTCCTGTCTGAGCAGCTGCTGGCAGCGCTTTATACAGGGTCCGACCGTGAGCTGCCGGTAAACCTGTGTTGCCAGTGACGCCCTCTCCCTTCCAGGTGACCTCTGAAGATGGTTCGCTACTCACTTGACCCGGAGAACCCCACAAAATGTGAGTGCACAAAAGTAACATTTCTTATTGTGGCCTAGGAGAAACAATGAAATTAACCAAAACGTTGACATACTGAGAATCTAAGAATTTAATGTTTTGTTTTTTTAGCATGCAAATCAAGAGGTTCAAATCTTCGTGTTCATTTTAAGGTACGTGAATCATAGTTACGTTCTAAAAGAGTCATTTTGTGTGTTCCAGTGAGGTGTTGTTTTTTGTTTTGTTTTTTTTTTAACCATGCTAAAAAGGTCGCTGCAGTGATGTCTTTCTTAGGACACCTTTGGATTTACCGTGAAAATTACTTGATTCTGAGCAGCCACCTATTAGACACTAAATATCCGAGTGCAATGACCACTTTGACTGGGGGGGCGGGGATTGGGTGAAAATGACCAGGGAACCTGAGAACCTGGTGTGCAGGTCAAGCTGTGGGACCTGATTGCTGCTGGAGGGGGTGGGGTTCAAAACTTCATCACAGCCAGTGAACAGAGGTTTTGGGTTCTTTACTCCTGAGGTTCAAGCCAAGCCTCCCTGGCCCTTAATCACAGATTTTTTCAGCTCCCCTGAAAATGGAAAGGTTTTAGCTGTTGATAAATGTTGACATTTTTAGGATCTAAGAATTTAATGTTTACAAATTGTGGTACTTTCACATGGTAACTGCCAGTTTATATTTATATTTAGAACACTCGAGAAACTGCCCAGGCCATCAAGGGTATGCATATTCGAAAAGCCACCAAGTATCTGAAAGATGTTACTCTAAAGAAGCAGTGTGTCCCATTCCGCCGATACAATGGTGGAGTGGGTAGGTGTGCCCAGGTGAGACTGAATGGCTGCTGTGTGAGGGAAAGTGACCGGAGGGTGTGAGGATGGTTAAGGTTAATCGGGCTGCTTCCGGTTGCTGTGATGACAGTCTTAGGACACCTTTGGATTAACCGTGAAAAGAACCATGTTCTGAGCAACCTTGACGTAAACAAAACAATCTTAACTTTTATTTATTTATTTTTAGAGAGAGAGAGAGAAACATCAGTGTGTGGTTGCCTGCAACCCAGGCATGTGTCCTGACTGGTGGTTGAACTGGCAACCCTTTGGTTTGCAAGCGGGCAATCCATTCTCTGAGCCACATCAGCCAGGGCCAAAACATTGTTTTTTATTTTTGAGGGTATATTTATTAAAGCTGGGGACAGTGAAACAAGGAGGAGCTTAGAACAGAAGCAGCAATGGGAGAGCCAAGGCAGGCCTGGTGTAGCTCTTTGGAAAGTCAGGAAAGGGGGCCTTGGAGATAGGTTGGGGGAGGGGTTAGCCTGAGAGGAGCTGCTGCGGCCCGTGGCTCCCCTGGTTGCAAGTCTCATGGGGTCCCTTAGAGTGGAAGAGATGTGTGCCTGTGGGGGAGAAGGGAGGGGAGGGAAAGGTGAGGAATGATCCCAGGAGGGAGAATGCCCCATAAATTAATCTTGATTGTAACATTTTATTCAAATCAAGAAATGACTAATAGCCTCTATTTTCTTTCAGGCCAAACAGTGGGGCTGGACACAGGGTCGGTGGCCCAAAAAGAGTGCTGAGTTTTTGCTGCACATGCTTAAAAACGCAGAGAGTAATGCTGAACTTAAGGTACTCAGAGCACTGAGGTCTTTATATGTATTCAGCTTGGGTAGTGGTTCAGCTAATGTTGCTCTCGTCCAGATTTATTATACAAACAGTAAAACACTATTGCAAAGGCACAAATATAGTTGGCCACAAAGGCCACAAAATGATGGCCTTAGTAATGATTAATATGGTTTGTTGCCTACATTCTTAATGGAGAGACATGTTAAGTTCCACTTAGAAGTTAAACTGATGTCAACAAAACAGGTTTATCCAACATGGTCTCTGGCTATAACCCTTTTAGCTGCTACGCCATGCTGACAGAACCTTGTTTATCATATAAGTCTAGAAATTGACACTACTCTTAAAATGGTCTTTAACACCCACTTGGTGGCCCTGAGTTCTTGTAGTTACTTGGATTTAATTTAAGGAAGGACATTTGGAACGAAATTGACAAAACTGCTTGAACAAATACGATATTTGATCTCTTAAGGCTTGCCATTCCGAAATGAGTTCATTAAGGCTGGGACTTCACTTTCCAGTGATGGCATTAAGATAACGACGTGGCCTGGTGTGTTCCCTCTCCCTTCTTCCCAGGGTTTAGATGTGGATTCTCTGGTCATTGAGCACATCCAGGTGAACAAAGCTCCCAAGATGCGGCGCAGAACGTACAGAGCTCACGGCAGGATCAACCCCTACATGAGCTCTCCCTGCCACATCGAGATGATCCTCACGGAGAAGGAGCAGATCGTTCCCAAACCAGAGGAGGAAGTTGCACAGAAGAAGAAGGTAAAGTGCTTAGTCTCTGCTCGGCTGCAGTTGTGTGTGTTAGACTTGCGGTTGCTGTGATGACCAACTTAGGACACCTTTGGATTAACCGTGAAAGGAAACTGTTCTGAGCAACCGGCAGCCTTGTATTTTATTTGGGCTTTCATGGGTCTTCGTTTCTTGGCTAACAGTGAATAACTTTGTATAACACTATTCAGTATATGGGGACTGTGGTTGTCTACTGATAACCCCTGTGTCCATAGCCACTTAGAATACAGCAAGTTCAGAAACAACCCCCCTTAATCTACTAAGCCTATTTCCAGTAAATGGCAGTTCAGTGTTTTGTTGTTGCTTTGTTTTTAAGAAATACTGTATTTTCCTGTGTATAATGCGAACTTTCTGAGGGAAAATAAGAATACTCATTACACATGGATGGTACTGATTCTGTATCTATATAAATGTTTTTAATTCTTTTACTTATGCTTATACATTTAATGAATAACTTCAGAAAGCAATGATATCCATATGCAAACTACAATAATATAAAGAACAAGTATCTAAATATAAATAAGTAAAAATTGAATTAAAAATTAAAATCAAAGGTTTTTTTTTCTCCTGAAAGTTTGGGCCAAAAATGTGGGTGTGCTTTATACATGGGAGTGCATTATACATGGTAAAATATGGTAATTGCCTCATATCACTTTAAGGAGTAGACTACAGCATGGTGGTTTGGTTTATATGTACTGTGAAATGATTCCCACAGTAGGTCCTCATAGATAGAGAAGAAAAGGAAAGCCCTGGTGCAGTGGCTCAGCTGGTTGGAGCATCATCCTGTACACCAAAAGGTTGTGGGTTTGATCCCCAGTCGGGGTGTGAACAGGAGGCAACCAACTGGTCTTTCTCTCCCCCTCCTCTCTCTGGAGACAATAAACATCGTTGGGTGAGGATTAAAGAATAAGGGGGAAATTAGGTCTTTATGATAAGAACCCATGATTTACTCTCACCAACTTTCCCATGTATCATACATCATTGTTAGCTATTGTCACTTAAATATCCTCCATCCTTCCTGCCACTGGAATCCTATCCGGCTGGTGTCCCTGCCTTCATTGAACTTGGGCTGAAACTCACATCCCTGATCACTATGCCAGAGAACTCGACCTCTGTTGAGGTTGCCAGTTCTTTCACTGAGCTAAGACCTACTCCTTTAGATGTAATGTGGGTTTCTTTGGGAAACTTAGTCTTTTTGTTATCTTCTTTCCCCAGATATCCCAGAAGAAACTGAAGAAACAAAAGCTTATGGCCCGGGAGTAAATTCAGCATAAAATAAATAATAAAAGTAAAAGCAGAATGTTGGTTGTCTTTATTAGTAAATGTATTACAAATGATCACACGTTTTCTTCTGATCAGAATTAAAAACATAGATTATTGTTTGCCATCTGTTACTTTTGGTTTATAAACATACTGTTTTGGATGTGTTGCTTTTTTTTGTACAAGGTGGAATTAGAACATGGGGAAGTTCTGAAACTTTTCAGTCACTTTATTGAGATTGAACACACTGCAACATGCCACAGTGCAATGGATCTTAGTAATGAGTATTGTTTTGTCAACTGAGTTAGAACATTTTAATCATCTGGAAGAGGAACCTTTGACAGTGCTTAGCTGTCACTCCCATCCTGCCCTAGGGAACCACTTACCTGTAGATTGGCCTGTGCTGACACTTTATGAAAGAAATCAGTTTGTGGCCCATTGTCACTGGCTTTGACTTAACCTAGAGTAGTCTGTTTATCCATGTATCTGCTGCTTATTGGTGCATGATTTGCATCAATATAAAATTAGTTAAACATCAGGGTCTTTTTTTTTTTTTTTAAGCCATTACAAGTAGTGCTGTGAGCCTTGACAAGTTTTTGTGGGGGCGTGTTTTCGTATCTCTTCTGCATGACCCAAGATGGGACTTGCTGGGTCATGGTAACTACCAGGTGTTTCAAAGCAGTTGTGCCATTTTACAATAAATACCACTAGCTCCATGAGGGAAGCTTCCAGTTCTCTCCGCATCTTCAACACCGACACCTGTTTTAGTGGGAATGAAGTGGCGTGGCATTTTTAAGAAGTACTTGAAGCTCCTACAGTTGTCCCAGTTACTCTCCCTTAGCCCTATCCACCCAGCCCGGCACCCCACTTACAGGCATTTCTTAAATTAATAGCCAATTCAAGTTGACGATTTATCCTGCTCTTGAAGCCCTTTAGGAGAGGGAATGGTTTAGGAACGCCTGAGTTTGAAAAGGGCCCGGCCCTCCTGCAAGTACACTGCCCACCCCTATCGTGGTGAACCAATGGCACAGGCGTTATTCCTTGGGTAATGTTTTGAGTTTTGTTCTGGTATTTGGGGATGAAAAACGCACCAAGGCACGGAGTCGTACCCGCGAAGCTCCCGTGTCTGCCCTCGGGCTTGGAGGTTACGCCGGCAGCGCCCAGTCCCCGCCCCTACGTCACAATACGTCCTGTGTGACGTCAGGCTGACGCAGACGTGGGTTGATCAGCCCGTTTGGCGGTGTCCATTGGCTCGGCTGCGGCACGTCCCTCCCTCCGGAAGCACGGGCCTTTGCACTTGGGCTTGGTGGTTGCGGGTGAGTGGGCCTGGGTGGGCTTGGGCGTTAGGCCGGAGGTATGGGGCGGGGGTGGGCTGTGGTCTCGGCGGTGTTGGGCTGCGCCGCAGGCCCCGGCCCGGCCGCGCTGACCGAGCTGGCCCTCTGGGTGGCGGCTCTCCTGCCCTGGGCCCCTGCCCTGCCCCCCTGCGCACTCTGGGGTACCCCCACTTCACTCTCCGACGCGCCCCTGTCGCTCGCCCTCCCTCCGTCGCCCTTTGCCGCTCCCTCCGTCTGCGTCACTTACCTGCCTGGCCTCCATTCTGCGTCTCCCTTTATATCCATTTATTCCCTTCTTGGCCTGAATTGTCGGCTTCTTCGCCCTTCTATTATCTTCATCACCATTCGCCCTCACTCACTCGTCTTTTCAGTCGGGGTCTGGCTTCACTCAGCCAGTCTCCAGTAAAATGATACGCTAGACTGGGTTACTTAGAGGGAGGTGGCGTTCCCCACTCTACCTGCCCGGTTTCTGAGGGAGCCTCAGCCTTTTCCTCTCTGTTGTATTGTATTGGACTAAGTCGAATGAAAGAAAATTCCTCTCCCACAATTTTAATCCGTTTCACTTGCTTTGTTGTAGTATCCGAGAAATGGTTTGTGGAGAATAAGTAAAATGATAGTTTTATCAATTTATCATAGCCACCTTCTAGACCTTTCTAAGCCACAGTTTCCACATGAAGTAAAATAAGTCACCGAAGAATCATTATGAAGATTAAGAAATGAAATACAGTATCTTCATTTCTGAAGAGAGCTAAAGGGTTTTTTAAAAGCCATAAGTATGACAAGACTGATTAGTACTATTTGTTTTTGAGAGTTTATTTAAAACACAGCAATTACATGGTGAAAATGAATCTTTATGATGGAGGGGGATTGCCTGCCATCAGCCTAGACGTGCTCAGAGTGTTGCCAGTCGTTTTGGAGGGGAATTAACATAATCATTGTGTTTTGGGAAGGGGAAGAGGCAAAATCCTTGAGATAGGAAACCAGACCCAGAAATCTGGTCATAACCTGCTGTAGTTACTAGTTACCTTTTTGTGAACTTTGGACAGGTCACAACTGTTGGATTTTTTTTTTTTTTGTAACAACACTTATATAGCACTTAATATATGCAGACACTTCTGAGCTTGGTACGCATATTAATTTAATCCACTAGCTAATCCACATCCTTGTGAGTTAGGCACTCTTACTGTCTGTGTTTTACACATGAGGGAATTAAGGCACAGACTGGTTAAATAATTTGCCCAAAACACCGTATAGAAAGTGGGGAGAGCAGGTCTCAAATCCAGGCAGTGTAGTCCAGTCTGCTTGATTACTGCCCTGTGGTACCTCTAAGAGTGCAACTCCTAAACCAGACCACCCGTTGGGTCTCTCCAGATCAGATTTTAAATGTCTATGGCCAAAAATAATGATTCCTTGAAAATGGTGAAAAAGACTCATCGCTAGTTTGGCTTTAAAATATTTTGGTAAATTCTTGCCCTGGCTGGTGTGGCTCAGTGGATTGACCACCGACCTGCGAACCCAGAGGCCGCCAGTTCAATTCAGTCAGGGCACACACCTGGGTTGTGGGCCAGGTCCCCAGTAGGGGATGTGCGAGAGACAACTGATCAATGTATCTCTTGCACGTGGTTGTTTCTCTCCCTCTCTTTCTCTCTTCCCTTCTCTAAAAATAAATAAATAGAATTTTTTTTTTAAATATTTTGGTAAATTCTAGCCCTAGCTGGCATAGCTCAGTGGATTGAGCGTGGGCTGTGAACCAAAGTGTTGCACATTTGATTCCCAGTCAGGGTACATGCCTGGGTTGCAGGCCATGACCCCCAGCAACCACACATTGATGTTTCTCTCTCTATCTCCCTCCCTTCCCTCTCTAAAAATAAATAAATAAAATCTTTAAAAATATATTTTGGTAAATTCTTAAATTGCTATTTTAATTTGAATAAGGGACCTTTTTAAAGAATCCAGTTATGAATCCTTTGTAAAATAGCTGGTTGTTCATTGATATACATTTGGGTTTTTGTTTATAGCTCTTGCAATTCACTTCAGAGTCATCAAAACTGAATTGTCTGTGCCATTATTTACTTGTATCGTGAATAAGTTTAGATTGCTGTAGTGCAGACATGATGCCCACTCATTTGTGGGTACATAATACTTCATTTACACGAGTTTGAAAATAAGAAATTTTAACATCCTGAATTACTGGCTTAATTCAGTGTTCTGAAGTAGCTTCTTAGTTTTTCAAGCTACTCTAAGGGATTAAAAATTCTTGCAAATCTCCCTGGCCAGTATGGCTCAGTTGGTTGGAGTGTCGTCCTGTAAACTGAAAGGTCGCCAGTTCGATTCCCGGTTGGGGCACATGTCTAGGTTGTAGTTTGGTCCCCTATCAGAGGGCGTGCAAGAGGCACATCGGTGTTTCTCTCTCTCTCCCCCTCCCTTTCCTTCTCTCTAAAGTCAGTAAGCGTGTCCTCGGGTGAGAATTAAAAAGAAACTCTTGTAAATTTAAGAAGTTTTTGGTTTAATAGGATAGTATATTGTGGAAGTAGGATTCGTTCTTGTTTAAGAAATTGCTGATTTTTAGAAATTCCAAGGTGATTTCTAATTTTCAAGAAAATTAGGTATCTTAAGTTCTTGGAAATAAGCAATTTAGTTATAATAATCATACTAAGTGAAATTTTTTATTACACTGTCTCCCTTCATTGCCATTAAAAAGGAAAGGCAGTTGTATCAAGGGAGAATCGTTGCCTGTAAAAGACCAGCCATTTTGCAGCCTAGAGGTCTTCCAAAGTGATAACTGAGAGAGTTTACTATCACAAGATTTGCCCACTTGTAGGTTTGGCTAATCAGTACTGCCTGTCTTTGAAGGTGATTAGGCCATTATACTCACACTGAACTGGAGCGAAAGTCATCATTACCAAGTTCTTCAGTGCTTTGTGCCTGCCTTTGCTTTGAGTGTAAATTCAGAGAGCAAGGGTTCCCAACCTCAACCAGGTTTTGGCTTAAATGAGTCATTCAGCCGTCCCTCAGTATCCTCAAGGGATTGGCTCCAGGACACCCGGCCACCATCCCTCCCCCACCCAAATCCCCGGATGTTCCAGTGCCGTATATAAATGGTGTAGTATTTGTGAATAGACGGATATATGCCTACACATCACTCCATCTGCATGGATTCAGTGAAATGTTCTGTGCATGACAAACTCAAGTCTCGCTTTTTGGAATTTTCTGGATTTTTTTTCAAATGTTTTTAATTTGGGGTTGGTTGACTCCATAGATATAAAACCTGGGACTACAGAGGGCCAACTGCATACGCAAAATGTTGGACTGCCTAGCACCTAGCAAATGTTGGTGTCTTTGCTTTATTGTTAAATTTACAGCTGGGAGCAGTGATTGGAGACATTTGGAGGCAGGAACCTCACTGTTATTTTCATGCCTACCACCTTTTATTCCTTTACCTTGCAGATAGTAGCATTGTTAAAAGATTCTTGCTTTTAGCTAATAGTATGATCTAAGTTTTTCATTCAGTGTAGAAATATTCCTTTCAGAGGTCTTAATCTAGGTAAGTTCCTCCACTCAGCAGTCTGTGGTGAACTAATTTGTTTTTCTTTGTGTCTTTCGGCAGTTCGGGAGCCCCCAGCCGGGACGATGGTGTGCATTCCTTGTATCGTCATTCCGGTTCTGCTCTGGGTCTACAAAAAGTTCCTGGAGCCGTACATATACCCTCTGATTTCCCCCTTTGTCAATCGTATGTGGCCTAGGAAAGCGGTACAAGAATCCAACGATAAAAGCAAAGGCAAAGTGGACTACAAGGTAAGAACATTAAAATGCCTCGAATAAGGAAGGGCGGGTGAAGGGGGCGGTACAGTCAGGGTGAAATAAATACTTGGCTTTTGGAAAGGTAGGTTCTTGGAACCAGAAGCTTCATCAATGTGTTTCATTTCCTTCTTTTTAAAACTAAGGGGTTTGGGCTGCTTGATTTTTTTTTTTAACTGATTAACATTGGGTTTAAACTAAGGTTTTAAACTCAATCTCTGAATTAATGCATTTGTGCCTTGCCTTATGGCCAAGATGATAACCAGTATTTACTGGCCGGTGAGAGTGATGATTGAATAGCTGATGGATGAGAAGAGATCATACTAAAATAAGCCAGTTTCAATGATTGATAACTTTGGTAGAAGACTTAATCAGAAGGATCATAGAGGGATTTTTTAATTACTTTTTTTTAATGAATATTTAGACAACAGATTGTCTTTAGCCTTGGTGCTCATTATGTTCAACCTCAGTTGTGTTCAGCTGTACTGCCCGGGGGTCCGGCCCGCGGCCCAGGATGGCTGTGAATGTGGCCCAACACAAAACCGTACATTTACGTAAAGCCTAGTTTTCGCTCATCTGTTTTCGTTGGTGTTTGTGTATTTAATGCGTGCCCCAAGACAACTCCTCTTCCTCCAGTGTGGCCCAGAGACGCCAAAAGGTTGGACACCCCTGCATGACCCTGCACATCTCTAGAAGCAGAGATTTTTTTTTTCAAACTTCATTCAGAAGTTTGTCGATTGTTTCAAAGAGAATATCTCTTATGATGATGTCTTTTTGTTGTAATAATCTCTAAAATGGTTTTTCATTTTAGGGTGCAGACATAAATGGATTGCCAGCAAAAGGACCAATAGAAGTCTGTGATAAAAAGAAAGACTAAAGTGACTGTCCCCGAGGACCTCATTGTTTTCAAAATGGACCTAATAATTTGAAGCACCTTCTTTGGAATTGTCTCTGACGTTTTCTCTTAGACCAGAATTCAGGGTAGATAGTTTAGATATTTACCTGATACTAATCAGGAAATACATGGTATTTATATTTAAAATGTATTTAGTTATATTTAATGATCTCACTTCTGAGTTCCTTTCTCATTACAGAAGCTTTCTTTCGTATTACTGCAGTTTGAATAATATGAATAAATAGAAGGTTTGTGCCAGTAGACACTGTACTAAATCAGTACCTAAACATCCTTGGGCTTCTAGCTTTTGTTCAGGCTCTTTGAATTTAAGTAGAGAGAGTAAGGCAGTTCAGTGAGACTGTGTGGCGAAATGAAAGGTTTGGGATATGATAATGACTCGACATGTAAGGTTATAATTATTGCCCAGAACAGTGGAGCCCCTTATCTACAAGAATAGTAATTTCTGGTTATTATGCTGAAGAAATAGCAAAGACAAGAAATAGAGGAGACTTTTTTTTAAGAAAATGGGACACCTTTTACATAAATGTCTAATGCATATTATAAAATTCTAATCCTTGTTGCATTCCTTCTGTTCCTACAAAATGTATTAAATAATTCAGTTTAGCTGTGGTTGGCTTTTTTCTCTTAAGTTTAAATATTTTAAATGGGGACTTTTTTAAACCACATCAGAAAGCAGAATTTACAATAATGTGATGGTATCTGAATAGTTGAGGCAACAGTGTTATTTTTTAAAGAGTAGATTGTGTCAGTTATTTATTGTTGCATAACCAGACGCTCCACAGCTCAGTGGTTCTCACCGACAGCGATGTGACTGTGTAGTTCTTCGCCGGTTGGGGCCTTTACGTGGCCTTTCACCCCTGGGCTGCTTCACTTTACGGACCTGTAAATGTTCAGCGTCAGTGAGCCATATCATTACATCCTATTCATTTATTCCCCTGAGGCATGGAGCGTTCGGAAGGGACTTCTGCCTTTGGGTCCCCAGTGAAGTCCTGGGGTCCTAACCAAGGTTCTGTTAAGTCCTGTGTCTGATCCAGTCACTGATTCATCCTGGACTTCATTTGATAGAAATCAGTAGGTTTCAGCTTTCCTGCCACAACCCAGGAGGGATAAGATGAGTTCCCTTTAGCAACTAAATTCAGTTGAATTTTGTTTGTTATTTAAGGTATAAAAACTATACTGTAAAAATAGCAGATGTTCATAGTAAAATAATGCAACAGAAAGTTAAAGGAAAAGTTAATATTCTTTCACTAGTCTCATTCCCTTATTCCAGCTACACAAATGCAACCACTATTACTTGTTTTTTTATTCCTCAATGGAGGAATGTTTATTGATTCTTGAGAGAGTGGAAGGGGGAAAGCGAGCGAGAACATCCATATGAGAGAGAAACATCAGTTGGTTTGCCTTTTGTAGGTGTCCCGCCTGGGAATCAAACCCACAACCTAGGTATGTGCCCTGACTGGGAATCAAACCCACAACCTTTTGATGTGTGGGGCGACACTCCAACAAATCAAACCTACTAGCCAGGGCTACTATTAGTTGTTTTGTATAGCCTCTTAGCAACTTCCATCAAATATGCCATGTTTAAAAGTCTCAATATTGCAGATGCATAATGTCCACACTCCCTTAGACCCCAAACGCTTTGCTCACATGGCTGTTGCTTTGTCCTCTGTTTTGTTTCTAGTGCACACGTGCTGCCATCCTTGGGGCTGTCAACCTGCCACATTACTGACCTTCTCCTTGGCTGGGGTGTAGCGCTCTTACACTGAGCTCCCTCTACTTTGCCCGCACATCCTCCATATAAGTTTTGTAAATTTTGGTTAAGTCCTTGATCAGTGTTTATGGCATTATGAGTGTCTTCCATTTGCCACTCTAAATCCCTGCTCCTTTCACCCTACTTTGCTGCCCAAGAAAGATGCATGGACGACATTAACAGGCTTCCCATGGCCTCTGGGGTGTGCTGGGTTTGACCAGTGGGATCTGTGGCAGCGATGGGAAGGGAGGAGTGAAGTCGGGGTATTTATTCCCTTGGCTACGTCCCTTCGAGGCCTCTTCAAACCCAGTGTGTTCCTCAGAGTAAATGCACTTCGAGGTGGCCCATTCACTCCACATACCTCCCTTCGAGTTCCACCGATCTCTCCCTCTCCTTGGCCTTTTGGGCCAGGGGGTGGTAGCGCCTCTCACTGCTGGCTCTAAGTCACTGCTTCATCTCGGTACCATGTGGTTTCTGGAACATGACTGGCACTGAGCATAAGTAGTGCCTGCCACATAGATTATATGTGGTCTGGTGGCTTTCTTGCAGGCAGTGTTGCTTTCTGGGGTTAATTACCTTGTCCTCCCAATTACCTTGACTGGTTGGTGTTGAGGCCTGATGCCCAGTGGCAGTTTTTGGGACTTTTTCTTAGCCACTCCTGTGTTGGGGCTCTTTGTTTCCTGAATCCCAACCCTACACCTTCATCTTTCTTGGTTTACTCTTTTTTTATTTATTTTTTTGGTAGCACACCAGTTTCCTAATTCAATACTATTAAGAGTTTGAGTATTGGAGACTTCCGGCCAAGATGGAGGCACAGGTAGACACACTGTGCCTCCTTGCACAACCAAGATAGGGACAACAATTTAGAAACAATAACAACCAGAACTGACAGGAAATTGAACTGTATGGAAGTTGGACAACCAAAAAGTTAAAATAGACACGTTCATCCAGACCAGTAGGAGGGGCAATCGGGCAACTGGGCACGGGTTGCGGTGCGGAGAGCAGAGAGCATTGGGACCCGGCTCATAAGGCATCCGGGGCGCACAAGACTGCAGCGGGTGGACCCTGGGCGCACAAGCGACAGCTGGCACACCCCAGCCGAGGGGTGGCAACCGGCAGACCCAGCGAGGTGGCGATTGAGAAGCAAGGCACTGCACACAGCCCAGGATCCCAGCGCTGGGAAATAGAGCCTCAGGACACTGATTGAAAACACCTGTGTGGGTTGAGGCACAGGGAGAGACTCCCAGCCTCACAGGAGAGGTCCTCGGACAGTCCCATGGCATGCACAAGCCCACCCACACGGGAATTGGCACCAGAGGGGCTCAGTTTGCTCGGGGGAAGTAGCAGAAGGGACTGAGGTCTGATGGAGAGTGGAGCAAGCACCATGGTTCCCTCTCGGACCCCGCCCCTCACACGAAACAGGCATGACCAGACCAAAAGAAAAAAAAAAAATGGCTCAAACAGAATTTGAAGCCCCAGAATCAGTACTTTTAAGTGACCGAGAGATAACCAACCTATCAGATGCACAGTAAGAGAACTGGTGATCAGGATGCTCACAGAACTAGTTGATTTTGGTCACAAATTAGATGAAAAAATGAAGGCTACAATAAATGAAATGAGGAAAAATGCACAGGGAACCAATAGTGATGGAATGAAAGCTGGGTCTCACATCAATGGAGTGAACCAGAAGAAAGAAAGAAACAACCAAACAGGAAAGGATGGAGAAATAAGAATTCAAAACAACGAGGAGAGCCCTGGCTGGCATAGCTCAGTGGATTGAGCACAGGCTGCGAACCAAAGTGTCACAGGTTCGATTCCCAGTCAGCGTACATGCCTGGGTTGCAGGCCATGACCCTCAGCAACCGCACATTGATGTTTCTCTCTCTCTGTCTCCCTCCCTTCCCTCTCTGAAAATAAATAAATAAAATCTTTAAAAACAGAAAACAAAAACAACGAGGAGAAGCTTAGGAACCTCCAGGACATCTTTAAACATTCCAACATCCAAATTATAGGGATACCAGAAGGGGAAGAGGAAGAGCAACAGATTGAAAACGTATTTGAACAAATAATAAAGGAGAACTTCCCCAATCTGGCAAAGGAAATAGACTTCCAGGAAGTCCAGGAAGCTCAGAGAGTCCCAAAGAAGTTGGACCCAAGGAAGCACACACCAAGGCACATCATAATTACATTAGCCAAAGTAAAAATGAAGGAGAGAATCCTAGAAGCAGCAAGAGATAAGGAGACAGTAACCTACAAAGGAGTTCCCATCAGACTGTCAGCTGATTTCTCCAAAGAGACTTTGCGGGCAAGAAGGGGCTGGAAAGAAGTATTCCAAGTCATGAAAGGCAAGTACCTACATCCAAGATTGCTCTATCCAGCAAAGCTTTCACTTAGAATGGAAGGGCAGATAAAGTGCTTCTCAGATAAGGTCAAGTTAAAGGAGTTCATCATCACCAAGCCCTTAATTTATGAAATGTTAAAGGGACTTATCTAAGAAAAAGAAGATAAAAAACATGTATAGTAAAATGACAGCAAACTCACAATTATTAACAACCACACCTAAAGCAAAACCAAAAGAAACTAAGCAAACAACTAGAACAGGAACAGAACCACAGAAAGGGAGATCACATGGAGGGTTAGCAACAGGGGAGTGGGAGGAGGAGAGAGGGGGAAAAGGTATGGAGAATAAGTAGCATAGATGGTAGGTAGAAAATAGACAGGGGGGAGGGCAAGAGTAGTATGAGAAATGTAGAAGCTAAAGAATTTATAACACATGGACATGAACTAAAGTGGGGGAATGTAGGTGGGAGAGGGTGTGCAGGGTGGAGGGGAATGAAGGGGGGTAATGGGACAACTGTAATAGCATAATCAATAAAATATATTTAAAAAAGAAAAAAGAGTTTGAGTATTAATAGTTTGAGGATAATTTTGTAAAGATCCCCCAGTTCATTCCAGATCATTTAAATCCTCCTTCCCTGAGAATTGCAGGTATTCTAAGGCCTTTCCCACTTCCTTCTCTCTTTTTGAGGATTTTTATTTATATTTAGAGAGAGAGAGAGAGAGAGAGAGGAATAGAAACATCAATTGGCTGCCTCTCATAAACACCCCAACCAGGGATGGAACGCACAGCCCAGGCATATGCCCTGACCGGGAATCAAACCTGCAGAAACCTTTCGCACTGCAGGACAACGCCCAACCAACTGAGCCACACTGGTCAGGGGCCCTTTCCACTTCTGTCTCTGTCTTGAGCCCTGGCTCCCAATCTTGTATTTTCCATACCAGGAATATGTTGAAAAGCTGTAACATTTCCGTGGAAGACAAGACACTTTGACACCAAAAGAGTGAAAAAAAAACTTTAGGATAAAGGATAACAGTAGCCCATTTGTTTGAATAAGTTGATGAAAAATATTTTTATGAAAAATCCACCCTTTTGTCCATGTTTTTCTTTTGTCTTTCCTACAAGCTGTCACTGCACATCTCAGGGTTTCCTTCCTGGTAAGAGTCGCTGCCTGTTACACGTGTTGGGTGCTGGCGTTGGGCAAAGGCATTTCACACCCGTGATCTTATCTGATCCTTATAAGACTTTGAAATGCAGTCAAACAGGACCATAGAGTTTAAATATGCTACCCGGAATGTCTAGGATGTCAAAGCCCTACTTTCACGTGGTCTTAAAGTCCCAACCACCTGTGGGACTTTGGGCGCAGGGCAATCACAGCTGTTGACACCTTGTGAGACCTTCGTGAGGACGACTGGGCGGACCTGGAGAGGGGGCTGTTTGGACTAATCACCGGTAATGGATTTGTTTTAAAGTTTTAATTTTGCTCACTTTGCAGTATGACTTTTTAACTTGCCT